TCACCCTCCTGCCTCAAACAGACCAAGCAGGGTCAGCACATCTCCGCCTGCCAGGTTCTCTCCTGCTCGCCCCGCGCGTCCCCACTCACCACATTTCCCCCCTGGTCCCCACTGGGATCACTCTGCACCTCACAGCTCGTGAAACCTGGTCCTGGCCAAAGCAACCACCCCAGGAAACCTCCTCTTTGGTTTTCATGGCTCACCCAGGCAGTAGCTCTCTTCTGCCTGGTTATTAAATGCCCCCCTCGGGTTGTTCTCGTTTGTTTGCTCAGTGCCAGGCTGCGGGGAGAGGAGGGTGAACCAGGGCAGAGCCAACGAAACGTGACCAAACACACCCGTGTTCACGCCGTGCAGTGAGATTTACCATTCCCCAAGAAAACTGCTGCAGCCCAGCACCCAGCAGCCCAAACAGGCCCCTCCAAAGGCAAAGCTGCACCCCGCAGCCATCCCACGCTCGCCTTTGTTCCACTGGTGGGGAATGAGACGCAGCTTCCTACGCAGCCAGGCTGCGCGGCGCGTGTGATGGAGCCGCGCTCCTTCCCTCTGACAGGGGGGCTCTCCAGGAAGAGGAGAGCTGCAGCGCCCTCAAACACCAACCACCTGGTCCTTGCCAAGCAGACCTGCCAGAACTTGCATCCCTCTCACCAGGACCTGCCTGCTGCAGCTCTCGGGAGAGCTTTGTTTGCACGGGACAGGCTCTAACAGCTCCGATGCACCCAACAGGCTCCCTGTGCAAACAGGGCGGCAGGAGAGGGACCGCGTCGTCACGGCGAGCACAGGCCACTCTGTCCTCCCAGGGAGAGAGAGGGGAGAGCTGGCAGCAGGCCAGCAGTGTTCTCCCCGCAGCTGGAGTCGTGTGAGAGCAGAGTGGAGCATCTCCACACACAGCCCAGGCGTGGGGAGCAACCCTGGCCCCGGTGCTGTGGCCGCACCGTGCCGTCCCTCCGCACGGCTGTCCCCCGAGAAGGGACACGGTGAAACCTGAGCGTGGAGGAGACATCAAACAAGCACTGCCTTGGGATCTGCAACAGGCTGGCAGCAGCCACACTGCCTAGCCCTTTTTTTTTTGGTGGCTGGTGGGGTGGATGTCCCCACTACAGTTTCATCACCCTGCCTGGATCCTCATCAGCCACCGGCACAGCCCGGACAGCAGCACAACCCCAGCAGTGAAGTCAAAAGCACTGCTCAAGGTTAGAAGAAGAGAGCAAAGCTACTCCCCTGGGTAGAAATCACAGCTAAAGGTGATCTTCAAAGCAAGAGCTGGTGGACAGGTCAGGTGGAGATGAGTCCTGACCCTTCCACAATCTGCTGAACAAATATTTGCTCCAAAACAATTAATTTAGAGACAGACACAAAAAAATTGAAGAGTCTGAATCGTGATGGTTGGGGGTGGGGAAGAGAGGGAGGAGGTATTTCATTCCCCGCAAGCAAGGACCAGTGATTTTCCACCAGTGATTTAATCTAAATCCCCTGGAGAGTTCATTTACAAAAAATCAGATTGCATTATCGCCCAGGTCTCCAGGATACAGCCCGATCCGTCACCAACAGCAACAGCCACCCCAGCCTGCAAACCTCCATTTGATCACTCAATTCCAAGACTAATCTGTGGCTTTAAAAACCAAAGCCAGAGGGAGGGGGAAGGAACTCAGCGTTTGGCCAGGGTTATCTGCAGGATGAGAGAGCTAATGGGCCAGACAGGCCGGATGGAATGGCCAGCAGATCGGGGCATCAATGAAACCCAGCTCCTCAGCCTGAGCAGCCCCACCCAGGCAGTGCCCCAGGGCTGCCACATTCCTGGAATTCCTGCACCCTTCCTGAACCTGCTCCCTCTCTCTGGGTGCACCCACTTCCCCAGGGACCTCACCATGAGGAGCTGGGGAGCTCCCAGGGCTCCTGTGTCTCTCCTCAAACGCTGAGCTCAGAGGTTCCTGCCCCCTCCTCGGGCTGCTGCTGGACTCTGAGCTGAAAGGCCTGAGCTCACCAGCGTGTGAGGAGACAATTCCCCACCGGTTAGATGCAAATGCCTGACAGCCTGAACCCTTTCCCAGTAAGCACCAGTAAAGGTGACACCAGCAGGGAATCGCTAAGATGCAAAAACAAAAAGAAAACTCAAACATCTGCAGGTCGTGTTCCTCCCGCCGGCAGCTGACCCGGCATCTCAAGAATGCTTCCTGGAGAAATGCTTATTCATGTCAATACCTCACCAGAGAGGGAGAGAGAGCACGGGGGGTTTGCTGCTGGGGCAGCTGGCAGCGCTGCTCCCTGCCAAGCAACCAGCAGCTGCAGGTTTAGCAGCTCTCCAGCACTGAAGTTGCCCCTTATCTCAGCCCTGGCTCCCACCACACTGGCTCAGGCAGCCCCAGCAGCCCAGATCTGCTGTGGGATTTGCTTCACCGTGAGCAGGGCAGAAGGCAAAGCCCTGTCTCCAGAATGAAGAAGTAGCTGTGAGCTGGGCAGACCGCAGGCCAGCTCACCAAACACTGCACACTCGAGAGGAGGAAGCTCCACTCCCTGCTGTTAAATGACACCAGGAACATACCCAAGAGCAAAGGCTCCTGCTGGAAGAACAAGCTTGGATGATATTAAATATCCAAAGCCTCTTGGAAAACGTGTCTTTTACATAATATCCAGAGAGAAGGAGAACAAACAGGGGTGGAGAAAGACACATCTGAGCACAAAGTATTTGTGTCATTGTGGTGGAGTGACCCTCCCGGGGCAAGAGCTGTTAAGAGCCCAGAGGGAAAGGCCACACACCCCTTTATCTCCCTGCAAGATCTAGGACAAGCCTAAGACAAGCAGTAGCAAAAACACTGCAGGGAGCTGCACTCCGGTTTGACCGGCACCGCTGCCGGCCTGGAGCGAGGGAGGACACGGTCAGCCATCCCCGGGGGATGAGGGAGCTCTTACCCATCCGCCATTCTCCTGGATCCAGGGGTCTAGGTGGTCGGTCAAGTAGGTGGTCATCCAAGATACAATGCGTCCCACCAATACCCGCATCTCCTTGTCAACGCTCTCCACGCACAAGGCTCCCCCGAAGGAGAAGAAAGCCACGATGCGGCCCCAGTTCACTCCGTCGCGGAAGAGTTCGTTCACTACCTGCTCAAAGCTCTGGTAGGCCGTGCCCGGGGTGATGTGGAGCTGGGAAGTGAGGTCGCTGAAAGCTCGTCGGTACCTCAACTCAAACTCATCCCCCGCCTCCCTCAGCGCCTGCCTCACATCAGCTGCTTCAACCATTTCATGGACCCCGAGGCTGCTCCGGTGCACGGCGGCTCCGTTCACTACGTGGCTGGCGGGGGGTGGGTGCCAGGAGGGGCTCCCGTTGAGGACGCTGTCCATCTCGGCCTCCTCCGCGGCGAAGTCAGTCCTGTTCTCATCCTCCTCCTCCTCCTCCAGCTGGCTCCAGCTGTATCCCTTCTGCGAGAGCTTGTAGGAAACAAAGTCAATCACTAACTCCCGGTTACTGCTGGACATTTTCACACCTGGGATGGCCTCAATGAGTCCATGGTCCGGAGCACAAGCAGATTAGCAGGTCCCGACTCTGCTCCTCTTCACCACGGATGGAAACATCTGACCTTTGCACAGACAAACACCGGCGGGGAGAGAGGCAGGGAAACGGTTAACGC